TCGTGGGAAACGACGATGCTGAATTTGGCGCCGTCCGGGAGGCTGAGCGGATAGGTGCCTGGCGGCACGGCCACAGGCGCCTTCTTGGTCTGCGGGGAGGCAACATGAACCAGAGCCGACATGATGGCACTCGTTCCTTCCGCAAACTTGGATGGTGGTGTCCAGAGGAAGCTCTTCTCTGCGAGCCAGTGGAGATGTCGTTCGAGCTAGATTCGTCGCACGCATCGATGCATGTGACTGCTTCTTTGCTCGCCCCGAATCAAATCAGATTACGATCCCGACCACCTTCAGGGTCCACACCCGAAAAGCTGTTTTTCGCCTCCACACAGCGCTCGGATGGATCTCGTTGTCACGGCCGAGACGAAGAGCTCGACCCGGTAAGGCAGCTTCGAGAGCCGGAGTGGAAGCGCGTTGCCGGTGAGCCGGGTTTGCGGGGGAAGCACACCGCGCATGCAACTCTGGCCATCCTTCCTAGAAGGATGGGCCGTCCGTGACTATCGCCACTACCACCACCACCCGCATACACCCACCTCATCCACAAAGCTAACATGAGGGCCTTTTATCTGCACAAGGACATCGCTCCTGAAGAGCTGCCGTCGACGCTCGCCAACGACGTGCCCGAGCCCAAGTGTGCTCCAGGCTCCAACGAGGTGCTTGTCGACATCCACTCGGCCGCATTCAACTTCTTCGACATCCTCGCCGTCCAGGGCAAGTACCAGGTCAAGACCCCGCACCCGTATGTTCCCGGTGTCGAGATGGCCGGCATCATCTCCAAGGACTCGCCCATCCCCGAGGGCTGCAGCTTCATCCCAGGCAAGACGCGCGTGTTCGGCGCGGCGCAGGGCGCATACGGCGAAAAGACCAAGGCCGACTACTGGCAGCTCATGGAGGTGCCTGAGGGCATCTCGCTCGAGCAGGCTGCCGGTCTCTTCATCACGTGGCCCACCAGCTACGCTGCGCTCAAGTTCCGCGCCAATGTCCAGGAGGACGAGTGGGTGCTCGTCCACGCCGGTGCCGGCGGTGTCGGCATCTGCGCCATCCAAATCGCCAAGGCCATGGGTGCACGTGTGATCGCCACGGCTGGCTCTGCTGACAAGCTCCGCGTGTGCAAGGAGGTCGGAGGCGCCGACTATGCCGTCAACTACCGCGACAAGGACTGGCAGGACCAGGTCAAGAGTAAGTCTGAAACACGTGAATACATCGAGGCATGCTCGAGCGCATTCACTGACACTTTCCCTTCACGTCGATCTTTGCAGAAATCACCGAGGGCCACGGCGTCGACGTCGTCTACGACCCAGTGGGCATGATCATCCCTTCGCTCAAGGTGATTGCGTGGAACGGCCGCATCATTGTCGTCGGCTTTGTGGCCGGTACGATCGAAAAGGTGCCCGCCAATCTGATCCTGCTCAAGAACGTTGCCGTGACGGGTGTGCACTGGGGCGCATATGTACGCAACGAGCCGGACAAGATCGGCGAGACCTGGGAGGCGCTGCTCAACATGTTTGCCACCAAGAAGATTGTGCCTACCGTGTTCGAGCACATCTACGAGGGCCTCGACAGTGTGCCCGAGGGCCTCAAGGACCTTGCCGAGCGCAAGACGTGGGGCAAGGCCATCGTGCGCATCCGCGCCGACCCACAATTCCCTCCCAAGGGCAAGCACAAGCTTTGAAATCACTGCACGCCAGCTTTCTACTTTGATTCAATGGGATCTGATCGTTCTATTCATCGGCAAGGGAAAAGTGAGAGTGCTACGATCGCTTGGCGGGGTGAGCACGGTGGTACTGCGGGTTGCCTGCCGACTTGGTGCCTTGTGTGAGGGCTGCAGCCGCGTCTTCGGTCCAGTTGGGGTACGAGAGGAGGCCGCGGGCGAGGAGCACGGCGTCGCAGTCGCCCTTCTGGATAGATGCATTTGCGAGCTTGCCGGCCTCGGAGCGCTCGTAGGCGTTGGGCGAGTCGTTGGAGCCCTCCATCATTCCAACGGCGCCGACGAGCATGCGCTTGTCCTGGTCGGGCTGGGCCTTGACGAGCGCATCACGCACGGCACGTGCGCCGAACAGCTGGTATCCCGCGCCCACGGTGATCTTCTGGAATGGCACGAGACCGCCGGAGCTGACATCGATGAGGTCGACCTTGGCGTCGTGGAGCATCTTGGCCAGCTCGACAGTCTGGTCGACGGTCCATGAGTCGCCCTTGCCCGCCTGGTCGGCCCAGTCGGTGGAGCTGACGCGCACCCACAGACCCTTGTTGGGGAACTCGGCACGGATGCGACGCGCAACATTGAGCATGAAGCGCGCACGATTCTCGAGGCTCCCGCCGTACTCGTCGGTGCGGTGGTTGGTCAGGGGGCTGAGGAACGAGTGCATCAGGTAGCCGTGCGCACCGTGAAGCTCGACGTAATCGTAGCCGGCTTCGAACGCCCAGCGTGCCGACTGGACAAAGTTGTCCTCGAGCTTCTTTACGTCTTCGGTGGTGAGTGCGCGAGGAGTGATGGAGCCATCGTTGTATGCAATGGCCGAGGGGGCGACAACGTCCTCGGGCCAGCCGCCCTCTTGGCGCGTGACGTATTTTTGCTCCTTGCGAGCGCCGCGGTGGAAGGGCGACCAGTCGGACGCCTTACGGCCAGCATGTGCAAGCTGGACACCCATGGCGAGGCCGTCGGTGAACGACTTGAGCGCCGACACGAGCGCCTTGTGCGCATCGCGGTGCGCCTCGGACCAGATACCCAGGTCCTGGGGCGTGATCCTACCCTCGGGCGTCACGCCTGACGCCTCGACCATGATGTTGCCCACGCCGTGCAGCGCGAATGCACCGAGGTGGGCGATGTGATACGGCGTGGGGAAGCCATCCTTGGCCGAGTACTGGCACATGGGTGAGACGATGACGCGGTTCTTGAACGTCATCTTGCCCGACCCCTCGGGCTTGGCAAAGGGCAGTGTGATGGTCTGGAACAGCGCGGGCTTCTTGACGCCCTCACCAAGGATCGAGTCGGGCATGGTACCCGGCGGCGGATGGTTCTCGCGCGTAGGCACAAAGTGACCAATCTTTAGCGCATCAATGGAGTCGACCAGCGGCTCGGTGAGCCCCGAGACAAAGTTGGATGCCTCCATGCCGGCGTAAGGGTTGGCAGATCCGTTCGAAGTCATGATGTTGCGAGCGAAGATGGTGGTTGTGCTTGAACTGAAGATGGATTGGATGGGACGGCGCAGACGAAGCAGCGATCTATTTATCTGCATCAAGGCGAGTGAATGACAGTGGGTCAAGGAGGAGGGGGCCACGACTTTGAACGTGGTCGATGTCGCCACGGCTATGGATTACCTCCACCGACGACCTTCCTGGCTGCTGAGACTGAAGAGGTGCACCGTGCATGGCACCGAAGTCGGGCACTGAGCTCGCCGAATGACGTGCCCCGAGTTTGTTGGTTGGCAGGTGGAGGCGGAGCGGACCAAAAGTTTGGAACCTTTGTTTGGCCTTAGACCCGCTCAAAAGCCGGATGCACGGGCGGCTATGTATATTTCTGGCAATCTTGTGCGGCTTTAATCACTTAGCCGCTGCTCCCCGAATCTCCGTCAGTCATTCTTCTGCCCAGAAGACACGGCGTCGCACACAACTCGGTATCATTCTGTGAACGGGTATTCGGTTTTCGGAATGCAAGTGCGGCTATGCGGGAAACAACTCGGGTTCAGAGCTTGTGCCCTGTCTCTTCGGCTACAGACTGAGAGGGACCCACATCTGTGGATTGCCATATTGTGGCTTAGCGCACATGGCGGCCTTCGGTATCTAGTGCAATGGATTTCCCGATCTGTAGATAACAGGCCTGCCCAGCGTGCCTTCTGCAGCGCCTTGCCGTGGCGACAGCGATCTGATCCAGCGCGCCTCCATACCTCCGGGCAACAGGCCGTGGCTCGACCCAAAGCGGTCATTCCACACGATCGACACGCATCTCTCGACCAAATGTTTGCCGCCCACGTCGGAAGTCGACTGCGGTTGTGCAAGCACATGCATAGCCGCAAGAGGTACGTTGCTCGAGCGAACCTGCAGCAGCGCCTGCTTGCTGAAGCCCGACGAGGACAGAATGATGCCTGCGACGGGCGCGTCGTCGTCACTGGCAAGATCGACATCGTTGGCGGAGTCTGCGTTGCCTGTCCCCGTCGGTGATGCTGGCTGCGATGGCGAAGCAGCTCGAAACACGACGCCCTCCACCTCCCTGACGAGTACCGGGCCCATCTTCTTGCCACCCTCGTCCTGGCACTTGCACTGTGCCAGCACGCGAATTCGTTTCGACGCCTCTTGGTCAGGCACCGTCTTCGGTTCCCACCATCCGCGCAGATCTACACCGCGGTCGCCAGCTCCACCTGTACGGGTGAGTTCCATTCCAAATAGCTGGTGCAGCACATCCCGGCAAAGCAGCTCGTAGCGTGTGCCGCGTGCTGTGGAGCTCTCTGCCTCGTCGGCCTCGGTGTTCAGCTCAAGCTGCAGCTTGCTGCGGCGAGTACGCTTAGCAGATGATGTTTCTGCATAGTTGCGTACCGTGTCTGCTCTAGAGGTGCTAGATGGCCTTTCTGTGCAAGGCCTTTTCGGAGAAAGTGCGATCCCAAAGCCCCTGACTACGGCTGCGGAAGTGAGTCGGGACGAGCGTTTGAAGAGGGTGGATCGAAGCATCGAGGAGCCACGCCGCTGCTTACACCCTCCTTCGTCAGCAGAATGTCGTGACGACAGCTCCAACGAGCGTCGTTGTCAGAGTAGTCGAGACGCCAAGCGGTGACAGAGTTTGGAGGGTGTGGAAGAAGGATCAGGCTGGTGACACTTTGCGCATTTCCGGCCGAGTTGAGAAATTTGGGTTCCGACATCCGAGCTGGAAGAAACGCGGGCGCTGCTGCAAATTGGGCGCTTTTTGGTGGAGCGAGGATGCAGGCAGTTCCAGCTTCCGACCTCGAACATTCACCATCACTTGGCGGCCTCTTCACCGGCAAGCTTCCGTCACGAGACATCCCCACATCACCATGATTGCATCTACATCCAGGATCTCTATCCGTGTGCTTGCCCACGCTTCGGGCTCGCTCACGAGCTCCCAGCTGAGCCGCAGCGCGTCGCGTTGGGTCGCTCGTTCGCTCGCTTCGAGCACATCGAGCCGTAGCCTTTCGAGGCCGAAGCAGCTGCGTGCCTCCGAGCTGATGTCGAGACGCGCATACGCCACTTCCACCACTCCGGCATCTTCTGCACTCGACCCAGCAGATGAAGAGTCGCAGCGTTTCCTGGAAGAAGGCACGACGCACCTCGAAGCAGGCGACCTGGAAAAGGCCAAGCTTGCGTACGAGCGTAGTCTGGAGATCAAGCGCAACTCGTCGGCGCTCTTCAACCTCGGCGTCTGCTACTACCACGACCGCAATCTCGACGGCGCAATTGCGGCGTGGAAGGAGTCGCTGGAGCTTGCACCGGAGAGCGCCGATGCACACACCAACCTCGCCTCGGCGTACGTGCTGAGCAAGCCGTCGCGCCCGGATCTGGCCGTTTCGCATCTCAAGACGGCAGCAAGCATCACGCCGGACGATCCCGAGATCCAGTACAATCTCGCGGCAGTGCTCGAGGCGTGCGAGCAGCTCGAGGATGCTCTCACCGCCTACAAGCGCGCGCTCGAGGGCGGCATCCAGAGGGCAGAACAGAACATCCGCAACTGTTCGGCCAAGCTGCTCGGCGCCAAATTCGCCGTTCAGCAGCAGCAGAACGAGGAGCAGCAGCAGCGTGACCCCAAGCAGTAGAGCCCAGCTGCCTCTCAGCAAGCATGCAATCCGACGACTCTCTAGACCATCGCTTTCCTTCCTTTCTGTTTTGCCGGCGCCGTGACTGAGACGTGAGTGTCCGAGAACGAAACTTTGCAGGCTCTTTTGGCTGTGTAGGGCAGCAAAGTACGTTTAAGTAGGTTTTCATCGATGGAGGCACGAGTACATCCCGTGGCGTATGGATCTGCGATAGATGCGGCATGCGTGCGTGGCCGCGCTGAGCGACTTTATGAGGAGGATGTTGGTTGCGGTTGGTGTGGTGAGTTGGGGTCGTTTGTCGCTATTGAGGTGAGGCTTGGCTGATTGGCTCTCGAGGAGCGTTTGTAGCTCTCGATGACGGTGCGCATGCGATGTTGTTCCGCCTTGATGTTGCGTCGGCACGTCTCCCAGCTTGCGATCGAGACAAAGCAGAACGATCCCACGCCCCAGTTCAGCCCCCTCCGCAAGCCGCGCCCCGCCACGAGGCTGATTCCAGCCACACCGGCTGCTGTGGCCATACCCATGAGCAGACTGCCTCGCGCACACGGCATGCTGCCGATCCGCGAAAAGTCCTTGACAGGATCGATCGACGTTATCGCCGCCCGAATCTTGGCTGCCTCCGCCTGTACCCACCGACACAGGTTAAAGTCAACATCATCGTAACCCAAAGTGAACGACAGGACGACTTACCTTGGTCCCCGAGGCGCCGACGCCTTCGCCTCCATCACTGCCGCTTATTGACGCCTGGTTGGCTTCGTGCAATCTCGACATCTTGCGTGTATGTGCGTGTGTGGGGGGGAAGTCGTGAGGAGCCAATGCGGATGACGGTGGAAGCTGCAATTTTTGAGCCGAGCCTTTTGCTGAGGTCGCGCCGTGTGGAGCGCGAGTGCACGTCTTGTGTAATCGCCCGACTTCCGCTTTCCGCCTTCCCCCGCCTTTCAACCTGGACCACCGTCTCAACCTGGACCACCGACTCAATCTGAACTACCCTGGTCTAGCAACCCCTCGCCGATCGCATTGCTAAGCGCACACGCCACAGTCCGGAACCACTTGCTAGGGAAACATCAAAGATTTGGGCTACACTAAATGTACACGGCCCGCGAGCACAGGCTGCGTCGCAGGCGCTCGCGGTGAAAGAAGAACAAGAATAGGGTGCCAAGAAGCAGGGCAAGTCCAAGACCATAAAGAATGTGGGTGTATCCGGGTGGGGGAAAGATATGTTAAAGAGTGTGTGTGTCCGTGATCGGGAGTGGGATGCGGAAGATGTCGTCGCACCGAGCAACGCCCCGTCAAGATCCCCTAGCTAGAGCGGGACCGAGACGAGGCGGAGAGGCGATTGGGGAAACGGAGGATGAGAGCAGCAGGTGTAAAAGAGTGTGGATAGCTCAGGGCAAGCACCAAACGTGCGCCATAGCAAGTTGGAGACAGTTCAAGCTAGCTCTACGGCGCCCCCTGAACGGCGGCGCCCGTATCGATTTTTGGCCTCAAGCCGCGGCCGCAGTGCCGCTCTAGTAGGCGCCTCGCTCGCTGTAGCGACGCGATCGGCCTCCGCGGTACGGTGCACCAGCGGGAGGGGGCGCGAGCGATGTCCTGCTACCGTACTGGTCGCCGCCATAGCTCCTCCTGGGTGCGCGGTCGTCGTAGCTCCTGCGGTTGTCGTAGCGATCGTAGTCGTCGGCATACGACCTTTGGCTGGTGCGGCGCGAGTCGCGGCGGCCGACATTGCCGTAGACGCGCGCATCGTCGGGCTCGTAGTAGTCGTCGTAGCGCGACCTGCGGCTCACGCGGCTGGCGGGACGCTGCTGAGGCCCATAGTAGTAGTCCTTCTCCGCATAGTCGTTGGCCGGGTACACGGGGCGCGCCGGCTCGTAGTCGTCGTAGTAGTTGTCTTGGCTGCGCGAGCGCTTGAGCCACCAACCGAGCGCGAGCATCATGAAGCCAAAGAACACCGGCGGCAGCGAAGCCACCTGCATCCAGATGGCAGGGCCAAGCTCGGCTCCGCTAGGGTCGAGCGTACCCGTGCTCTGGAAGCTGCGTGCCTTGTTGCGGGCGAGGATGAAGAGCACGAGCTCGATGACAAGCGCTGCCATGGTGAGGAACGAAGCCCAGAGCGCCGACAGCGGCCACAGGAACGTGTTGGTGCACAGGTGCAGGAAAGCCGCACCGGCGGCGAGACCGGTGAAGCCCGCCGAGATGGGCTGCACAACGAGCGCGTACGGAAGCTTGTTGACAAAGAAGCGGCTGATGGCGTTCTCGACGCCGTTGAACGACTGCTGGTAGCCGAGGCCCGTGGGCGAGCATTGCGACAGATCGCCCTGCTTGAAGCACTGCGACCAGATGCCGAAGGTGACGCGCAGGACGGCGTTGCCCTGCGAGGCGTCGGTGAAGTTGATGTAGAGGAAGTAGATGCCCTTGATGTAGGGCAGGCCGAGCGCCACGAGCAGCTGAAGGATGAACGAAGCGCCGATGGCTAGGAAGCCGACGAAGATGAAGAGCACCGGTGGGATGCGCATGGCTGCAACAAGACGTCGTGCCGTCCGAGCACGGTCACGCTGGGCTGGGTGGATGTGACGGCGAAAGGTGGAGAAGGGGCGATGCAGCCGGGAGTGTGCGAGGAGCACCAGCCGAAAGGATGACAGATGAGGCCGTGGCCTCTAGAGGATGATGTCGGAAGGACGTCAGGAGAGAGCAGGAACTCGTAGGGATGATGATGGTGGTGGTCCTGGTGGGTGGACTCGACGGAGCACCGAAACAAGCAATGCGGCGAGTAACGAAGCGGGGGGATGAGGGCCGGGGAGTAGAGGAGGGGGAGAAGTTCAAAGGGCCAAGGTGAGGAGGAGAGCCAGGAGCAAAAGAGACAGCAGGCCAACACAATCTAAGGCCGTCACGATTTGAGACCAGCTTGGCGGTTCCAGGCAGAGTCAATGGACAGTGCGGATGAAGACGCAACTCAGTCTCAGGAGGGGGAAACCAAGGAGAGGAGGATGAGAGAAAGCTGGAAGAGGGCGCAGCACGAGAGGGACAGGAGAAGTAAGCTCTTTGCTGTCTGGGAGAGCAGGACAAGGTGATATGACGCCTGAAACCGCTTCTCTCGTCGGCAGCGGCGGCGGGGCGCGGCGGCAGAGACAGCCGGCGTGAGGGGATGGGGAAGCCAAGCAAAACGCCCGTCGCGGTCGCACGAGACCGAAGCAGCAAAGCGGCATAAAGTGAGACAGGCCTACGGATTGTTGGAGCGTTGCTGCGTGGACGAGGCGGCGGATGGGCAGGCATGCGGAGAGGACGATTTCGTGTGCCATTGAAGCTCCGCGATTTGAGCGGAAGACGAGGCCATGGCAGGGAGAACAGCGGCCAGGGGAGACTGCACCAGGTACGATCTGCGTGCCGGGTTGTGCTTTTCCCTTGCGTCAACCGCTTGGACGGAGCGTCGATCCCCCGCGTCACATCTGGTGGGCCACGGACGAGGGCTCCAGGCGGCTCTCCAGCAAGCCTGTACCGACACTGCTTGCTCAAGAGGGCATGTGCCTCGTCTGCAGCTTGTGCAGCAGGAGCGATATCGCTTAGCGAGCTGGGCGCAGCCCTGCCTTGGTTCTTGCGACAGCATAGAGAGTGTGGTGGGATGCCCACCATTCCAGGCCGAGGAGCAGCGGAAAATCCAGCATGGCTCGAATTTCAAGCGCCGACAGGACAGGCGAGGCTGAGGGAGCCATCTACGCATTTCCCCTTGCGCTTTCAACGGCAACGGCTCAGCCCAAACACCCATCTCCAAACTCTCTCCGCAGCACTCGCCCTGTCAACAGCTGCTCGGCTCGGCTCGCAATCGCAGCCCAGACCCAATGCACTGGTCGCGGCTGCAAACAGGTCGTCGCAGCTTGACAACGATTGATTCGGTGTCGTATCGACATTGCTCCTTGGCCAGACGGCAACTCTGCAAGTGCGATGCAAGGTCGTCCGTGAGCAGCATGAGGCCAGCTATTTTTGTGGTTGCGGTTGCGAGCGAGGTCGAGGAGCCAGCGAGGTTTGCTCGGAACAATCTGTGCAGAAAGATGGACGGTTAGCCGGAGCGCGAATTCTGCAGACGCGCAGCCAATTCGGGATTCCGGTCAAAACACCACAACACACCCGCTCCCCTCGCTGCAGCCTGGTTTTGCGAGCATCGATGCCTGTTGGCAACACGAGCTGCAGTCGACTGCCTTGACAGTGCATTGGTGCGTTCCTTCCTGTAAGATCAACAAGTTTTCTGTTTATGTCCCCGAGATCCCCTTCTGCCCCAAAGCTCAGACGGCAGATCGGGTCGCCCGCGATTCTCATCGTTATCGTGCGAGAAAATGACATTCCGTCGCACAATCGGGACGACGATCTCAGAAGCCATCTCATCGGTACGCCGCGGCCTTTTCAAGCTGCACCCGCTGGCACGCCAGCCTCACGATTGACCGGCTTCTTTGCTGCTCCTCGACATCTTTTGGTCATCCGAGACGTATGAGCCGTGAGAACTTTGCTCACAGGCTTTAGCTCCAGCAGATAATGCACTCTTTGCACGCTCGCCTATCGTAAGAAACGACTGACGACGGTAGCATCGAATTATGTACAGGTGGAGAAGAACGAGCAGTTTGAGTCGAAAAGGAGCCGTCTATCGAGTCTCAAGCGCTTCGATACGAAAAGGATGGTAGTTAGACGTTTGCTTCGGCACCCTTACGCTCGTCCCTGGGCACGTATGCCGGAGGAGGCGGGCCGACGGGTGGCGCGTAGAGCGCGGCGTCGTCGTTGTTGGCGGGCGGTGCACCCGGCGGAGGTCCGTACGCTTGTCCCGCGGGCGGTTGACCATATGGGCTGGCCGGCGTCTGACCGTATGGACTCGCTTGTGGGTAGCCATTGTTGTAGCCCTGGTAGTACTGATTGTTGTTGTTGTTGTTCGGATACGACATGGGGATGGTCTGCGTGTTCTGCTGCGCGAAGCGTCTGCGGCGGCGCGCAGTAAAAGCAACCAGGATGAGGATGAGGATGATCACTGCTGCGATCGCAATACCGATGCCCGCCCGCGCGCCGTAGCCGAGACCGCTATTGCGGCATGGGTAGACGCTCGTGTATCCGTTGCAGTAGTAGACCATGATGGATGGCTTAGGCTTGCTGTGACTTGAGATGCGCTTTGTACGCGTGAGATGGAGCTATGTGGATCGCGGTTGAATGTGAAAAGTTCGTTGAGGTGATAGAGTCCTAGACTTCAAATGTTGTCTGCAGACCGACGATGAAACGGATAGGACAAGAACGATGTGCGGCGTCCTTGCTTGATGCGTGATTGATAGGATAGCTTGGTGGCGGGATGATGGTGGTGGCAGGTAGGGATGGAAGACGCTGCAATTGGATGACCTTTGACCCTGGCTCAGCCGGGACGGCGGTGGAAGGACGGGGGCCAGCCGGATGATTGGAGCCTCAGCCGCCACGCCCTGCACGGCGAAGAGCTTGGCGCTGCAGGGCAGCTTTGTCAAAGTGGAGGTGCAACTGAGCACTGTCGGTTTGCCTGTCACACAACCACGCCAAGCCCGCTTCCAATTCGAGGCTGAGCGGAATTTCCCAGTAGCGACGCGGCTGTGCTCGGCAGCTGGCTGTGGCGTAAAGACGCTATTCGACTCCGTGCCGACGCGCCGTCCAGCTTAGACAAGTGCCAATTCCGAACCAGAGACTGAGCCTTGCTGTGCTCAGCGGAGTGGCCGCGGCAGTGAAAGCGGCAGGCTGCCAAAATAAAATAGAAGCGAGGCGGCCCGACGTCATGACGGCCAACCGTTCCACTGCGCCTTTCCTTCGGCGTGCTTTCTTGAGCATTGCTACGGCTGAGACTCTCTCCACGTGCGGTTTCTGTAGGCAGATGTCTTACAGGTCATAGACAGCCACAGACAACCAGTCATCCTCACCGATCCCTTCATCACAGCCAAAATTGTCGTCGCGCTGGTAGCATGAGAATAAAGGACGAGACAATCCGCTCGACGATTCCTGAATCATTTCATGAGGAAACACGGAAGGACGATGGACTGCAGAGGGCCAGCCTAGAGCCGGCTCTTGAAGACACGTGTGTCGACGCCGTCGCCGATGCGGCCAAGAAGGTGACGAGCCACATACGGATTGACAAACACCTCGTCGGGATCGAATCGCTGGCGTGTGGCCAGGAAGTCGTTCCAATGCGGGTAGAGCTGCGAGAGCTCGGTGGGCGAGCACGAGTGCGCCTTGGCCCAGTGCGGCCGTCCCGAGTAGTGGCGCATGAGCGCTTCAAACTTGGCGAACAGCTGTCGGTATCGCACGGGGCGGTTGTACGGTCGGTACTGCACGATGCCAATGTAGCACGTCCTGCGTCCCTGCGAGTGGCTGAGCCAGATCGAGTCGGCATCCGTGAAGCGGATCTCGACGGGGAAGTGGATGCGGTCACCGTCGGCCGCGGCTTCCTCCTCGTCGAGCCACTCGCGCATCGCACGGATAGCAGCAGCTGCACGGTTGAAGGGGATGGCCCACTCGTCGGTGTACTGCGGGAAGAGGCAGTCCATGTTGAAGATGCGGTCCGAGCGGCCCACTTCCGACCACACAGGGTTGCCCGGCGACAGCGGACGCGGCGCAGGCGAGTCGCGCGCAAACGCGCTGAAGTTGCCCGCAGCCACGGTCGTCTGCAGCCAAGACAGCGAGGGCTCTGCTTCGGTCGATGCTCCGACGCTGCCGCCGTGCGCGAAGCTCTGTCCGATGTCGCGAATCAGCTGCTGCTGGTGCTCGTCGCGTGCGCCGTCATTGACGACCGCTGCAGAATTGGTCGCATTCTGTGCGACCAGCTCGGCCGCTGCTTCCTCGGTGGTGGCGCTGATACGATTGCTCTGCGGCGCCGTGGCCGGCTTGGCGTCAGCCGCGGGCAAGGCAGGGTGGGTGAGTGCGTGAATCCATCGGACTGCCACGGGAGACCATTGCTTGTTGAAGCGCGATGTATAGAGCAGCAGCTCGGTGAGGCGATGGCCGATCAATGCTCCCTTGACGCGAGCGGAGAGCGTGGGCGATGGTGAGACCGGCTCGGTGGTGCGATTGGCGCGCAGCATGGTGATGCGCTTCACTTGCGGGAACCACATCAGGCGCACGTGCTGTGCGGACGCCACGACCTGCTCGAGCGCCAGCTGCGCCTGCCTCGTCTCCTCGTCGTCCTCGACATCAGAGCGCGCCATGTGGTCCGCATCGCGGTTCGCGCTGACAGGAATCGGGTGGATCTCGGCGGCGTCTTTTGATCGATACGAAGGACGGTACTGCTCGGGGCATGGAGGCAGACGTTGGTTCTTGCTCACCAGACGGCCGATCGACGCGCCCGTATTGACGTGCGACTCGGTTGACACAGCAGGAAAGCCGGTCTTGGATCCAAAGAGCGAGTCGAAAGTGAGCTCTTCCGAGTACTGCTTCAGGTTGAAGGCGTCCTGGACGCGGAGCGTGACCGACGTGATCAGACCGGTGGCGCCAAGACCGCATAGCGTCGCGTTAAACAGCTCGGGATGTTGTTGGCGACTGCACGTCAGGTGCTGCGTGCCCTGCGGAAGCGGGCAGAGGATGGTGAGCTGCGAGACGTAAGATGAGACGACGGGGAAGAGGATGCCGGTGCCGTGGGTAGCAGTCGAGATCAGACCGGCGATGGTTTGTTCCGAGATGGAGCCGACGTTGCACATGGCAAGACGCGGCTGTGCCGAGTCGAGGGCCTCGTGGATGTCCGAGATGTACGTCCCGGCCAAAGCGGTGATGGTGTAGTCTTGGTGGTTAATGTCAACGACACCATTAAGTCCTTCCATGCGCATCGCCCAGCCAGTAGTGAAGGGGAGGTCGCTGGGGCTATGCGCACGTCCGATGGCGCGGAGTTTGACACCTTGTCGTCGAGCCAGCTCAACGATCGCTGCACAGTGCGTCACGGTGGTCGGCGCAAACACCTTGGCGGGCGTGCTGACAAAGGAGCGGCCCCAGTTCTGAAACTTAGTCTTGGGCGAGCTCGAGGGCAGCACGACCGGCTGCACCAGCTTCTCGAGCTCGGCGGTGGACCGCTGAAGGATGCCAGCGTCGATCTGTGCGGAGGCCCGGTGCGCCGCAGCGGCTGTCGCCATCGCCGCCTCGGGCGAAGAGAGCGTATACTTGGACGTCGAGGCCATTTGGGATCCGGAGCTAGCGGTGTGACCGAGTCGTGAGTGTCTGCAAGTGAGTTCCAGCGATCCTTGTTGAAGCGAGCGTGTCACTCGGCGATGGTCCAATCGAGGTAGGGGATCCTTCCAGCTCGTTCGTGGGGCGACTATGTATGCGTAGGAAGTGGATGGTGGGAGCAGAAGGAGACTGGATGGACTAGATCTTATTGGAACGTGTGCCAGGTGTTGCTCCGCGGGAGAGAAGAAGGGGGAATGCCAGGAGCTGCATGAACGCGAACGAGCCTCCCTCGTGAACTTGAGGTCGCGGCGACTGAGCTTCCGAGCCCAGGAGGCCTGGTTGGTTGTACGCCGACGCTGCAGCTTACGAGAGGGCGATCTGCCTTCATCCGGCTTTGCAACAGCACTTACTCGAAACGAGCCGCTTCCCTTGCCGGCTCAGGTGGGCGAGCGCCGCGGATCACAAAAGCAGAAGGGGTCCAGCGCTTCACACTGCGTTTCAGCCCTGACCATCGCGAATTTCGGGTCGGAACATTTTTCCAAAAGCCACGCCGAGAAAAAAGCGAGGGGCAGCAGCAGCTCACGGACAGCAGACTGCCGGAACGAATGTTTGCTAAGAAGTGAGGTGGAGGCACGAAATCGATCTGGTGCTGCTGCTGCTGCACTTCCAAGCAGGTTGAGATCTTCCTGGTTTCAACCGGGGCGATGCCTCGTGCCCACTTGGGACGACGCGTCCCTTATCGTCAATCCGAGATCGTACAACTTGGCACACAGCCCCACGTTCCGTCGCTCGCACTGACCCAGCAGCCGCGACAGCGACACGCGTTCAGCGCTGCAGTCAGCTGCATCCATCAAAGGCTTACACAAGCGCCGATCGCTCTCTTCATCTCGCCCGGCCCCACCCTTCACTTTTTCTTCCCCCTTCACCCGCTGAGGACGTTCATTCTCCAGTTCACTACACTCGAATCTAGAAGAGAGGTTGGCGGTAGTCTTGCGTGAGACGCTCGGCCTCGACATGTGCTTGCCCTGCTTGACAGGCTGTAAAGGCTCGTGGCTGCAGGCTACTCATGCACAATCACGCCATCAGTGTCGATCTGTGCCGCGAAATTCGCTTTCCTGTCGGCTCCACCGCGCGGACCAAAAAGACGTTTCATCGGGCTGAATCGTTGACGCTCTCGCCCCGATCGTGTCATGCTCCTCTTTGCACTCCCCTTCCTCTCTTCCTGATGTGTCTGGTCTTCACTGCGCTCTGCACTCGCGCCCTTGCGTTTTGGCGTTCCTGAACATTCCAGAGCATAGACAGTCACGAATCAAGCAAAGCCACCACTCGCCAGCTTGTTGGCAATGAACGAGAT